GTGGGCTGGGATCCCTGGCCGGGCGCGAAGGGCCGCCCAAGGGGGGTCAGGTTGCAGCCGCCGCTCCGCCGCTCCGCCGCAGGGGCTATTCCGGGGCGCCTCGGCCTTGTGACTCGCAGAAGCGGCAGCGGAGGGACGGGACGGGGGTTGGTGGGGGTGGTGGCCTTTCCTTCTTCGTCCTCGTCCTGGCTCGGGAAGCAGCAGCAGCCGGGGGGAAGTGTTGGGGTTTTGAAAAATAAAACTTGTAATTCAGCAGAGATAAAATAGCTTAGCAATGCCAGAGCAAAATAATTCAGACTCAGAGTCCATGTGTGATTCAAATAGAAAGTTTTTACTAAATTCTAGCATGGGGAAGGGTAACTGGGATGAAAATAACAACAGAGCTAAATCGGCTACATCTTCACACTACAACGGTTAGACTAGAAGAGGTGCAATAATGGCTTCTCTACTTCTTGTTCAGAACAAGCACACAAAGAGAGGAAGAGGAGCCATAAAATGCTAAAACACTTTGACACTTTGCTTCCAATGAAACTCCTAGATCAGGAAGAGTTTTCCCGGGCTCCTAGCATCTAACAAGCATTGGCTAAATGAAACAAGTGACTTCCTGTGACAACACAAACAAACATTTAGCCCCCATATATACTGGGTGTTTTTAACATGTAATACCCAACAGGAAGCCATCCAGGAGGAGGCGGGGGGACAAAGTGCCACCGCAGCAAGACCTGCACGTGAGCCCCCAGCACTGCCAGCCGGCCGCTGGCCAAAGAGTCCCCGAGAGCGAGCGCGCTCAGAAGGGCAGAGAGGTGGAGGAGGGAGGCCCCGTGTCAGCCCACCACCTCCTCTGCCTCTGGCCTGCGGAGTCCTGCCCATGCGGACCACCTTCGGAACAGTAGCGGGGGGGGGGGACCAAGAGCTGTGGCGGATGGCCCCGGGGACACGTCCCTAGTAGCCTTGGCGGGCAGACTGTCCTTGTGAAAAAGAGCCCGAGGAGAGGCGGACTGGTCACAGGACGACAAAAGAGCCGGGGGTTGGTTGGCTCCCATTGCGATGCAACAAGAGGGGTCTCTTCTGCGTCCCTCGTCCCACGGAAGAAGTCTCTGCCACGGTACCTGTGAGACAAAGTGCCCTACCCATTGGCCACCACAGATGTCCTTGTGTGCTTTCCCAGTTCCTGACACTCCAAATCCCATTCTCCCCCCCCCCACCTCCAAAGATGGAAGTCACGACACAGCCTATTTGGAAGTGGGGTAGAATATGGACCCTCAGGGGGCAGGCCCAGGGCATGGTGGGGTAGAACCTCAGGGGGCAGGCCCAGGACATGGCTCAGGGAGGAAGCCGCCCCATACTGTCTGTGACCAGGGCTTGGGAACAGGCTTCCAAAATCTACAGGGGGGGACAGCAGGGATGCAGCTACTAGCATAACTTCTTGTTGGGTGTTACAAGTCAAAACACTTAAGTATTTACAGGGTTAATGATGTTTGTTATGATCAACAGGAAGTCACGTGTTTTGTTTGTAACCAATCTATTTGAGCAATAGAATGCCAGGGAAGTTTGTAGCTAACTTAACAGTCTGATTGGAAATCAATGTGTCAAGTATTTAGCATGTTGGTTTCTCCTTCGTGTCTTTGTTCTGATCGAAGAAGGAGACGCCATTCTTCCAGTTTACCTGTAGCTGTAAGGATGTAGCCATTTTAGCTCTTTCTTATTTTCATACCCTGTGTACCTTTTCCCATGTTAGGTTGATAGTAAACGCTTATATTTTAAACACACCATGGACTCAGTCTCTTAATACTTACTCTGCTGACTTACTTGATAAGAATCCCTACACTTCTCCAGCACTTCTTGGCAATGCAAACTCAATGAAATTGCTGAGCAGTCGGGTTAGAGCAGATAACAGGAAGTCCTTCACCCAGAGAGTGATTAACAGATGGAACTCACTGCCACAGGAGGTGGTGGCGGCTACAAGCATGGATGGCTTCAAGAGGGAAGTAGATAAGCATATGGAGCAGAGGTCCATCAGTGACTCTTAGCCACAAGGTATAGATAGGAACTCTCAGTCTGGGGCAAGTGATGCTCTGTGTTCTTGGTGCTTGGGGGTGGAGGGCAACAGTGGAAGGGGCTACTATTGTCCTGGCCCCACTGCTGGACCTCCTGAGGGCCCCTGGTATTTTTGGCCACTGTGTGACGCAGAGTGTAGGACTGGATGGGCCACTGGCCTGATCCAACACTGACTTCTCTTATGTTCTTAAACCTGGGACTCCTTTTTGAAGCAGTTGACACCAAACCCAGACCTCAGTCTATGTCACCTTCTTTTAGCTATTTATTTAGAGAATTCATACGAGCCCATTAAGCTGCCTTCTACGGAACCAGACCCTCCGTCCATCTCCAACTGAGAGCAGCTCTCCAGAGTCCCGTGGTGGAGGGGGCTTTCCTGTCACCGGCTGCCTTATCCTCGTGGTTGGAGATGCGGCCAGGGGACAGGGCTTTCTGCATGCCAAGAAGATGCTCTGCCCCTGAGCCACCGGCTGCCTCTCCAGAAAATAGAGGAAGGGGTGTGTGTGTGTGTCATGATAACTACAGCAATAAAACCCTAACCCTAACCCTAATACCAGCCATTAAAAACAAGCCAGGGACAAAAAAAAACAGCCCAAAGCAACATCCAACAGCCTAAAAGGGTATTCATTAAAAGCCTGGGTTTCACCAAAGGCCTTGGCCTGGTGCCCAGAGGAGGACAAGGCAGACGTCGGGTGCCCCTCAAGGGTGAGGGCATCCCAGTGGGCACCCAGGGCACTTGACTACAGTCTCCTCGCCTCTGCTCTGCCCCGGCAACAGCAGCTCTGTGAGGTCGGCTGGGCTGAGGAGAAAGTGAGCCTGAGCCCCCTCCCCCAAAACTTCCCCCTGTTATCAATTTGATCCAACATGATGGGCCAATCCAGACCTAAAAAGTGGGAAGAAATCTTTTTTGATGGAAGTTTTGGGCTGATGGAGGGATTTTTACATCGGTAGACTATCCTGATGATGAATTTTTGTAAATTTCTCAGCTGAGATCTAGAGATGATTTGCCAGCGTCTGTTGAATGGCAGTACGGACAACTGCAACATCTGCTGGTACCTAAATATGGCCCTGTGGCATTATGTCCCTCTGAGTCCTCTTTACTCCTGGAAACTCTAATTGAATTGAGCAGAAAATGAAGCCCAGAACATTTTTTTATGAATATTTGATGTCAGTTAATAAATATGATATGCAGAGTCTCAGGAATGAATGGAATAAGGAGCTAGATCACTCTGTTCTGCTCAAGCAATGTGACATGGCCTTGAAGTTTATACCTGCTCTTTCCATGGGTTTTATGTTGACTTAGCAAAAAAACCAAAACAGTTTAGGATATACGGGACACCACAGTGACTCTTTAGCAAAGGACTGAGTAAAGTGTCTAATGGCTGCTGTTGACTTTTGGGCTTGTCAAGTCACTGGATTTTTTGGGAAGAAGCGATTACTCATATCACTTTTGTATTAGAATGTTCATTGATTTTTGAGGATGCATATGTACCTTTAAACTATCTGCCTGTCTCTTGGAGGCTAACCAGTGGTGATGGTCAACACTGTGCCTTCACTACACCTAAAAGACTCATATGACAACATTAGGGAGATAAATGCCCACCTCCGGTAAATGAATGGATTGAGGACCTTAGAACTTTATCAGCATTTGAACCCAGGGCATAGAGATGACAGCTATAAATGGACTTATGTATAGATCTGCCACCACTGCAGTTATATTTTTCTTTCTAGTTTATGTATACTTTTTTTCTTTTACAAATTCTATTTAGTTGCTGTGTTTTGAGATTTTTTCCCCTTTCTTGCTCGTTGTTTGTTTGACAGAAAGAAATGTCAAAACAAGGAAATCACGGGGCTACATTTCTGTTGCAGAGTATAACTTTTTACTTAATCCCCATCTTCTATACACTTCCTAGGTTGCATAAGGAGGGTTTCCCCCTCCTGGCCAGCTGATGGTTTTAGGTTCAGGCTCTCAAATTCTTGCACCTACAAGGCTGAACCAGTCTTTTGATCTTTCATGGGGCTTTTTTGGCACATTGGCTTAGAAATAAACTTAGAAGTATTTCTTGCTATGACTGTTCCTTTAAATTTGGTTACAAATGGTCGTGTAAACTGTAGTCAAGAACACCTGGTGGTCCCTTCATATGAGGCTTTGCAGGAAGGTTGGATGACGCAGCTTTTCAGCGCCATCCACCTCAGCGGACCACGTCCCAGTTGAAATCGTAATGCTGCTCATACTGTAAGAATGGGTTCTTGATGACAGTATGAAAAGATTATGTAATTTCTGTTTTTTTGGTTTGCAGAATATCCACCTGAAACAAAATTTAATCAGGTCTGTTATTTGAGAAAGCATATGGGAAATGTGTTTGCAGTAAGCTAGCATTCACGTCAGAGAAAGAAAGATCTGTATGGTGAAAGAGTTTTTTGTGGACTTAACTTGAACACCTAAAGGGGTTGTTCCTAATAGTGTGACTTGGAATTACTATACTCACACTTCTGTACATCCTCTGAAAAAGATATGTTGTGTATTTATCTGTATGGCACAGTCCTTATGTGCATACAGTATTACAGCGTGCATTAATGTGCTTAAACTATAAGCCACCTTCCTCTGGCTTCTTTGCCCTCTGCAAGTCCTCCTGCTGTGCTGCTGCCACCGCCAAGCCCCTTCCTCACCCCCCCCCCCCGCTCCTTGGCCCTTACCCCATTTCTGGCTGGTCCAGCGCAGGTCTTGGCTCTTGGCCTGAATGACGAGGTTGACTTCGGCTCGCTCCGAGAAGTGCCGCTGCACCTGTTGCAGGTTGTTGGGTATTTGCATGTTGAAAACACTCAATGTGTATGCATGGGGTTAAATGTCTGTTCTGTTGTTACAGGAAATCACCTGTCTTTGTGTTAGCCAGTGTTAGCTCAAGTCTGTTAGCCCGCGAAAAGCATCCCTGTTCTAAGAGTTTGATTGGGAGCGAAGTGTTAATAACTTTGCATTTTATGAGCCCTCTTCCCGTCTTTGTTCGCCTTGGAGTGGAAGCACGTTGGAGGGCCATCTTTGTCAAAAGCAAAGCATTGTAGCCATGTCTACTGGAGAAGCTGAATGTGTGTCAGCGCAAACTGCAAGTTATGAACTTTACTGGATCATACATCTATTGAAGGACTTCGGCATAGATGAACCAAAGCCAATAATTCTTTTTGAGGACAATCAAGCCTGTATTGCTATCTGCAAAGGAGAAGGAACCAAGTCTAGAAACAAGACCATCGCACTCAAGTGTCACTACGTGAAAGAGCTGCAAGACCAAAAACTGATTGAACTGAGATACTGTCCTACTGACCAGATGATTGCTGACATCCTGACCAAGCCGCTTGACAAGCAACGTTTTGAGAATCTTCGTGAATGTTTATATTTGTCTGACTTTCGTGTTTTAACATGAGAAGGGGTGTTGGGTATTTGCATGTTGAAAACACTCAATGTGTATGCATGGGGTTAAATGTCTGTTCTGTTGTTACAGGAAATCACCTGTCTTTGTGTTAGCCAGTGTTAGCTCAAGTCTGTTAGCCCGCGAAAAGCATCCCTGTTCTAAAAGTTTGATTGGAAGTGAAGTGTTGGTAACTTTGCATTTTATGAGCCCTCTTCCCGTCTTTGTTTGCCTTGGAGGAGAAGCACGTTGGAGGGCCATCTTTTTCCAGTTCTTCTAGTCTAGAGAGGATGTAGCTGATTTAGCTCTCTGTTATTTTCTCCCAAGTTTACCCTTCCCTATGGTAGAATTGTAGTAAACTTTTATATTTTTAAACACACATGGATTCTGGGTCTGATTATTGAACTCTGGCATTGCTAAGCTGTTTTTTAACTCTGCTGAATTTCTTTAAAAACTACAACACAGGTCCCCTGTGTACAGGGCGTTCTGGACCACCACGTCTTGGCACTCCAGCGGCTCCTTGAGGCGGCCTCTCCAGCTCTGGGCAGGCCCGGGCAGGCCCCTCCCCTGGTGGGAACACCGTGGGAACATTGTGGGAAGGGCCAGGAGGAGGAGGAAGGAGGCCTCGACCGGAGCTCTGAACTCCTTAGCCAGCAGCTTCCAGCCTTCAGCTCCTGCCACTGTTGTTGACCTTGGGAAAGGGGCGGGCAGGTGGGCGCCTGCCCCAGCCTTTAAAAATAGAGCCCTGGGCAGCAGCAGCGGCTGGCATGCTCTCCACCAGCTCCCTTAATCTATTTCCGTACCAGACCGAGGTCCTGCTTTGTGTCTGGCTTGGAAGCCAAGAGAGCGGCCTTCCGTCCAAGCCTGCAAAGGGGCCTCCTTCTTTCCAGAGCCCGGGGGCCACCGTGAGACTTCTGGTGCCTGAGGCTCAGCGGCCAGGTCTCCTGAGTCTAGCAAAAGCCCCAGGACTTCCGCTCAGACAGGGAGGGCTGATTTGGCTCTGGTTGACTTCTGGCCCAGGGCTTCAGGCCTGCCGCAGGATCTGCCGGCTCCTAAAATAGAGTTGACTGCTACACTGTTCAGTGCAAGGTCATCTGCGGGAAACCAGGAAGGGGTCCCCAGCAAGGGAAGGCTGGAGGTCACTCCAGGGCAGATGGAGCCTCCCCCCCCAAAGTCTTGTTCAGGACTCGGGGTGGGGGGGCTCTTGTCTCCTCCTGAGCAGCAGGCTGCCTGCCATGGCAGGGGGAGAAACTGCAGGCAGTCCACTCAGGAGGAAGGGCATGAGGCAGGGAGGGGCGTTGCTGCTCTTGTGCAAAACCTGCTCAGCAGGGTCTTACCTCCTCCGAGCTGGAAGGAACACCTTCCTAATTGGCATCGGCGGGAGCCCTGTCAGGTCCCTCCCTCCCTCCCTCCCTCAGGTATTTGTCGAAGCATGTGTGTGCATGTGTGTGTGTGAGAGAGTGCGCACCAGAGAGAGGATCACCTCTGGGCCACTAGTGGTTGTGGACCCCTGCCCCCACCCCATAGGTACTTGCATTAAATCAAGCAATTAAGATGGACACCGTCTCCAGCTGATGGTACCGAAAGCTGCCTCCCCCCTTGGTCACTCAGCCATTCAGTCCTACCAGCCCTGTCATCTACCTCCCCTCCCAAACCCGGGCTCCAGCAGTTTCCCACCCCAGTTGGCCCTCTTCTACTCTGTTGTCCTCCGGCGTTTGCTCAATTTCATGCCTGTTGCATCGATAACTGTTGGGTATTACAAGTTGAAAACACTCAGTATATCTGGGGATAAATGTTTGTTTGTGTTACAGGAAGTCACATGTTTCTCATGTAACCAATGTTCTTTAGATGTAGAATGCCCGGGAATTTTCTCCCTGATCTAGGAATTTGATTGGGACTTGTTAGGTATTACAAGTTAAATTACACTCAGTATATCTGGGTTTAAATGTTTGTGTTGCTCACAGGAAATCACACGTTTCATGTAACCAATGTTAGTTTAGAAATACAAGTCCGGGAAAATTCTCCCTGATCTAGGAGTTTCATTGGAAGTAAAGTGTCAAGGTGTTTTAGCATTTTATGGCTCCTCTTCCCATCTTTGTCTGCTGTTCTGAAGCAGAAAGAAAGAGAAGCCATTACCTCTCTTCTAGTCTTGTCCTTTGTAAAGATGTAGGGAATTTAGCCCCATTGTTATTTTCATCCCAGTTACCCTTCCCCATGCTAGAATGTAGTAAACACTTTCTATTTTAAACACACATTGAGTCTGAATTATTTTACTCTGGCACTGCTAAGCTATTTTATCTCTGCTAAATACCAGTTTTTAAAACCCAACAGGACTAAAGTGTCCAGGTGTATTACCATTTTATGGCTTCTCTTCCCGTCTTTGTTTGGTGTTCTGAAGAAGTAAGAGTAGCCATAATTGCCCTCTTCTAGTTTTGTCTTTTGTAGTGTAAGGATGTAGCCAATTAGCTCTGTTGTTATTTTCATCCCAGTTACCCTTTTCCATGCTAGAATTTAGTAAAAACTTTATATTTTAATCACACATGGACTCTCAGTCTGAATTATTTTACTCAGGCTCTGCTGGACTATATTATCTCTGCTAAATACCATTTTTTTCAACATCTCACTATCACCCAATACGCTGGCAGAGCGGGCGCATGAAGAAGGGAGCCCGCACTGAGGCCACGCTTGCCGCCGCCTGCTGGAGCTGCTGCCGGCACCGCCAGGCAGAAGGTAACTGCGCCCTGCTGCCGGCGCCTGAGCCAGCCAGCCAGCCCTCCGTCCTGGGGTCGCATGGCCCTTTACCCCCTCACCCACCTACCTTCTCCCGCCGCGGGCACTCGGTTGGCGACAGCAGCTCAGGCAGCAGGTAAGGAGCGCTGCCAAGAGGGGGTAAAGGGCCGTGTGGTGGAGGGCTGTCTGATTCACACAATCCTCCTCCCCCCCCGTGCAAACTTGAGGGCGCGGTGCTTTCTTTCTGATGGCGCCTGAGCCAGCCAGCCAGCCCTCCACCTCAGCACCGACCGAGCACCCGGCCCCCCTGCCGCTGGGTTCCTGGTGGGGCAGTCTCCAGGCCCCACCGGGAGGTTGGCATCTGCAGCCTCGCCTAGGGCGCAGCTTTGCCGGGAACCTTTTCTCTGACCCTGGCCCCCCTTGATCAGATCACGTGGACTCCTCCTGGAGGGGCCCGACCTCCCCTAGCCCCTGGCCTGGCTTGGGACTCCCACTCCCAGAGTGACCCCTTTCCAGGTTTTCCTGGTTTGCCACGTGGCAGGCCCAGAGAGCTCCACCCCAGGAGAGAAGCCCCCAGGGCATCTGCTGTGCAAGAAGAGGGTCTGCTGGACCAGCGCCCCCCCAAACTGTGGCCCCCCAAGAAGGGCCTCCTCTGACCCAGGCCGCCCTGCAACAGGCACCGTGTTGGCTTCATCTGTGGGGAGGGCTTTGGTGTTTCTCCCAAGGTTGCACCCCACCAATGTTCACTGTGCAAAAAGGATTCTAGTCCAATTACAGTCCATGCATTTGCTTTTTTTGTTTATTTTACATCATGCAGTCCTGCTGCTGCTTCCAACAATGGCCATGCGACCACAGATTTCCCAGGCAAGCAATCTGTTTCCCTCAATGCTTTGTCAGGTTGCTTCACACTTGGGAGGCCCTGCTCTTCGACGTCTCCTACTCAGGATTAATCTTGTACTTTCTCGGCATCTGCTGGTTTTTCTCCCAGCTGCCCTTCCGCCAAGGGGCTGGGGGGGGGAGCCTTCCCCCACCTCGTCCTCCCAGCCACTCGGGGAAACAGCGACTGGCCCCCCAAGGTCAGCCAGGGAGCTTCATGGCTGGGAGGAGTCTATTGACTCGGGTCTCCCCAGGCCCACCGTCATCAGTGTTCCCTCTAAGCTGAGTTAGTGTGAGCTAGCTCACAAATTTTCAGCCTCCGGCTCACACATTTTTTGTCTTCGCTCAGGAAGGATGGGGCTCCAGAGCAAGCTAATTTATTCAGTAGCCAAATCGCTCGCTCACAACTTTAATGCCAGTAGCGCACAAAGTAGAATTTTTGCTCACAAGACCCCACAGCTTAGAGGGAACATTGACCGTCATACCAGATGGGTCCCAAGGCAACTGGCTGGCACCTGCTCGGGTCCTGTTCCTTTATTAAATGAAATAATCCCGCCTCATGCCCGGCTCCCATACCAGGTACAGAAGAAATCCAGCAGTTGTGCATCCCCCTTAAATCCACCAACAGGCCTTTTCTTTCCGACATCAAGCGCCTTTTCTTTCCCAGTAAGCCAAGTGCCGACTTGCTCGATGCAGGACGATTCCCGAGCTCCTCCATACATTTGCTCCTGTCCTGCAGAAGTGAGACTCGCACCCGCTTCCAGCCCTTCAAAAACGGGAAGGGGGCCAACGTGTTGCCCGGCCTGCCGCTTCGGTGGCTGTTTCCGTTCTCCCCCCACTGTCTCACGCAGTGTTGCCATTTTTGTTTGCTCTCATTCATGAAGCGTTATTAACTCTCTCTTTTGCATTGTCTTGCATTTTTCATGTGCGCGCGCGTGTGTGTGTGTCTGCAGCTGGAAGTCATGGCGACCTCTGGTGACTGACCCCTACTTTGGGGCCTGGAGGATATTCAGAGAGGCGGCTGAGGAAAGCCGCCCCCGCCTCCCACCTCTGCCAAGGGGGTCCCCCCCCCCCGTACTGGCCGGGGGGGGGGGGGTTTGGCCCTGCTCAGCTTCCCAGATCTGAGGAGACCCGGCTTGCCTGGGCTACCCCGGCCAGGGCATTCATGAAGCGTCACGGCCTGTTTCCACGCCACCTGTTGGACTCTCCCATGGCCCCGCCTCTTCATTCTCCCCCGGGGGAGCCCTTTCCCGTTGGGCAGGGCTGGCTCCCTCCCCAGATGCCTGGAACCGCCCCCCTGGGGCCCTGAGCTGCCGCTTTGGGGAGGGAGGGAGGGAGGGGGGGGAGGGACCTCAGTGGGCCACAGTGCCAGAGAGCCCACCCCCTCCAGAGCAGCCGTTTCCTCCAGGGGGGGCGGCCTCTGTTGCTGGAGATGGGTCGTAATGGCAGGAGCCTCACTTGAAGGCTGGCACCCCGGCAGCGGGCCAGGACACGGCCTGCACCCCCCCCCCCCCGCCCGCGGGGGCGGCGCTGGGCGCA